GGATTCTAGAACTGAACAATTAGCAATGACCAGTATTCAAGCTCAATGATAAGTTGCTAGATGCATATAGTTGCTAAAGAAAAACATTGCACAGCTACACAGAGCCACCACTCAAAACCAGGTCAAGCTTTCATTCAACAGTCTCCCTGATTTTAATCAGAAAAAGTAGAAAAATCAAATTCTCTCATTCACTAACCTTTGATTTGCCAACACATCTTCATAACAATAGTCTGCACTCAGAAAGAGTAAAAGAATTCTTGCATTAATTTGCACTAATTTACACTACCAACATAAGCAAATATAGATGTCTGTACAACACCCAAAATGGCTAAATCAAGCATGTCAAGCACTTCCTAATTATGCCTAATATTCTTTCTCACTCAACTCTCCCATTTTCTCGGCCATTTTGGTCTCTAATTTTTGTAACTTCACATAGCTATGAACTCAGCAAATATAGTAAGAAAGAAATCTAAAGAGTTAACAACATCACTGAATAAAGAAGCAGAATAAAATCTGCAGAATAAGGGCATTTTTTAATCCAGCTTCAACATTTACATGAAATTAATCAAATTTACCACCTTATTCAGATTCGACTTAAAATAACAAAATTTTCCAATTCAGAAGAATGCAGTAGCCTAACTGAATTTTGGAGTAGAATTTTTTCAGGAAAAAACAAAAAGAAAGCTTTAGACAAAATTAAAGCAAATTCGACAAGGACAAAAGCTCACCCAAAACCGTCTGGACAACAAGTCCGCAGCAGCATCATCCCTGTGGCCCACAGAGTCGCCACCTTGGCCTCCTCCGAGAAAACTCTGATGATGATGATGATCAGTATTCCCATCGATAGTACCAGACTCCTGCGCCAAAGAGGCCGAGACGCTCATTGCCATGGCTAGCTGCATCTCAAATTCCTCCTCCGAATCAAAATAATCCTTCTTCTGCTGCTGCTGCTGCCTATCCGCCACAGCTGTAGCCTCCGGAGAAGTGGCAGGAGCAGCAGAAGTCGGCGAAGTTGTAGTAGGAGAAGCAGCGGTAGCAGTAGTGGGAACACACGCCGGAGCGTTGCCGAAGTTGGAAGGCCGGTGATCGGAGACACCACATGACGCTGACGTTGACGCCGGCGCCGACGATGATGACGTGGACGAAGAAGTAGAAGATGTTGATGAAGAAGATGGAGTTTCGTTGGATCGATTAGGGTGGTGATGAAGCTTTTTCAAGAGGTGCTTCATTTCTTTCCTCCTCTTCTTCCCTCTTTCTTTCGGTCTTCGTACTTTCTCTCTCTAAATTTATACACAAACAGTCCATATGGATAGAAGAAGACGAGTGTCTAACTTCACTAAAAAAACTGTGAGTTATGAAAGTGCTGCGGAGCACTTCAAAAGTTGCCGGCTTTTGAAGTGTCTTCGCAGAGTCCATTTATCGAAACACTCATACAAAAAACTGTGAGTTATGAAAGGGATAGAAGAAGACGAGTGTCTAACTTCACTAAGTCCTACTACGCGGGTATGGGTTAACGGTTGCGGATATTTATTTTTAGAAACATAACCAATTTTATTTCGGGCAAATTATCCAATTAGCCCTTGAACTCTTTGTCTAAGTAAAAATAAGCATCTCATCTATTTTTTGTTGACTTTAAACCCTCAAACTTGTAAAATTGGACACCCGTGACCCTTTTAGCCAGTTTCTCCGGTTTTGCAACCGGAAGGTCAATTTACACGAATGTCAGTGTGCTTTTTCAAAGGGTATTTTTGTCCGCATTTTCTAAGTAAAAAGGGGCAACTTCTCCTTCTTCCCTTCATCTAACCTAACCCAACCGCTAACTTATTCAACAAATGAATTGCAAAGGGAAGAGAGAGAAGTCTGCAAAGAAACAAAAAAAGGGAAGAAGGTAAAATCTTTGTGAAGGGAAGGAAAAAATAGGAAGCAGAGGGCTGCGATATTTGCGCATTTTTTTCTTAGTTATTGTAACAGATACAAACTTTCACCAGGTAAACTCGGGTTCCCAATCATTGGAGAGACACTCCAAATTTTCTCAAGTGGCCCAGAAAAATTTTTTCGTACAAGAATGGAAAAATACTCAGAAGAAGTATTCACAACTTCACTGTTCGAAGAAAAAGTGGCTGTAGTTTGTGGTCCAGCAAGGAACAAGTTTATGCTCTACACTGCAAACGATCGTCTTGCTCCTTGGGTTCCTTCTGCAGCTCTAAAGTTATTCAATTGGTTGGATTCACCTGGTCTATCAGTCAAAGAAGTAATTTCAAAATGTCGCAATTTTCTTTACAGTGAAATCCTGAAGCCTGAATCTTTGAGACAGTACATCTCCATCATGGATTCCTTGGCCAAGGAACAAATGAAAACTTACTGGGATGCTTCCCAAATGGTAAAGGTTTATCCTCTTACCCAGAAATATACACTTTCATTGGCCTGCAAATTGCTACTTGGTGCTGAAGATGCTCACCAAGTTGAAAGAATATCTGAATTTTTCCATCTCACATTGCAAGCCTTATTCTCATTGCCTATCAATCTGCCTGGCACCACATATAATTGTGCTTTGAAAGGGCTAGAAAATCTCAAGCAGCACTTCCCGGTTGCAAAACCGGAGAAACTGACTAAAAGGGTCACGGCTGCCCAATTTTACAAATTCAAAGGCTTAAAGTCAACAAAAAATAGATGAGGGGCTTATTTTTATTTAGACAAAGAGTTCAAGGGCTAATTGGATAATTTGTCCTTTTATTTCTCACATTTTACAAAAATAATTTTCGCTCATGCTATAATTGCGAACCAAATTCATGATATTTAAAAGGGTTAAAAACAAAAAAAATCCCTGCGATATACTTAATACACAAAAAAGTCCTTCATGATTTCAAAATATACAAAACAACACCTCATATTTTGAATTAAATTATAAACTAGCAGAATTCGTTTAAACTTAACGGAATTCGGTAAACTTAACAGTTGAGACCGTCATTTTCATTAAATTTAACGAATTCTGTTAGTTTACAATTTAATTTAAAATATGAGGTGTCGTTTTATATATTTTGAAATCACGAGGGGTTTTTTTTATGTATTAGATATATCACATGAAGTTTTTTTGTTTTTAACCCTATTTAAAATATTGAAACTACTATATCTTTAAAATCAACTTTCAATCCGAATCCAATCACCCAATAACCTGATTACAAAATTTGGGAATATAATTGATAGATCACTTGGTAAACTCAACATAATTCTTAAGGAAATAAAAACCCAACAAGAAAAAATAAAAAATTATAACATAAAAAGGAAGGATTAATTTTTCATATATTGTTATTGTATGCACTGACGTACCTAGTTATCTACTGCATCATATTAATTTAAAATTAAACACCAAAATTTATATGTATGATATACATCTAGACTCGCAAAATGTATATACTAACGGTGCATGAAATGATTGATCCAAAAAATAAACTCATTATTCCAAGACAAAGAACGTCCTTTTTATGTTATAATTTTTAAAATTATATATATATATATCCTTTCATGATACTACAAAAAGTTTATGATATGTATGTACATGGATAATTTTAGAAACCTCCCTTAACGTTTGTGACAATTTTATTTAGCCCCCTGAACTTTAAAAATATTGATTGCCTCCATTATTTTTAACTTTTTGTAACATTGGTAGCACATTTCAAAATATATTATCCAAAAACTTATTTGTGGATAGAGAGTATATTTTCATTCCAATATTTTCTTGTGAACCATTTTGTTTACATAACAAATATAGTTAATCTCTTAACTTTTGAACACTTGGCCGATGTGATTTTTTAATTAGGAATTATAAAGTGGTTAACAAAGTTGAAACACATATTCTTAATTTTCGTGCCATTATTCTACACAAGGAATTTGATAAAATTTTGAAATTCTAAAAATTTGCATGAGAATTTTACAATGATAATAATAGCATTTTGCACCTTGAAACACCTCAAATGAGTTTTTAAATTTATAGTTAAGAATTCTATGTTATTCAAATTTTCAAGCCATTGATCTAGTCAAAGAATTAGCAATTCAAAAAATTTATACACAATTCATAAATCTTTAATTTCATTCATAAATATTTTTGAATTAAAAAAATGACTTTTTTCTTTGAGAAAACCTCAAATGAATTTGTAAACATAAACATTTTATCTTTTTAATGATTTACAAGCCATAAATCTAGAAAAGAAATTTACAAACTTTTAAAACTTTAAAAATTTGAAAAACTCCTCAAATTGACCAAAAACACTTTATAATAAAGGAATAATCTTTTTTTTTTGTTGTAAAAACACTTTGAATATATTATTAAAATAAATTTTGTGTACATTGATATACTTACAATTATATTGTGTCTTTCAAAATTACACATTTGTACAATTCGTCTTTATTTAACTTTTTATGACAAGTTTACAATTTTGAAAAAAGTAGGACAACAAAGTGTATTTTTGAAATGAAAACATCTCCTCTATCCAAAAAATGAATTTTTACATATTATATTTTGAAATGGGTTGACAACATTACAAAAAGTTAAAAGTAAGAAAGACAAATGATATTTTTCAAAATTATGTGATGCTAAGTGAAAATTTGAGAAACCTTAAGGGAGGTTTGTGAAATTATCCCATCCATGGCTTAGCGCGTTTAGGAAACTTAAGGAAGAGGGGAATTGAATTGACGGTGGTGATATGAACAAAACGGGCCCCACTTCTCTTACATTGTGACACGTGTTTGCGCCCCAAATTTATTAGCAATGGTGAGTCCCACATTGGCAATGAAATTTTATTTATTCGAACTAACTTCTTTTTTAAATCCTACAAACAAAAGCATTGCTTTAAGCTTTTTTAAGAATTACTGAAAAATTATACTCTACTGATAGATTTCAACTCTTGTCTTCCCTTTCCTCGAATCGTCCCAAGAAAAAATAGGGCCAAAACCAGAATAATGGAGAAAAGGAGGTGTTTGATAAATAATGTAGAAAATGCAACCAGAAAATATTTGCTGAATTTACACCAGAATTATTTGGAACAAATACACAAATAGCGCTGCAAAAACAATGGGATACAAGATCAGAATTGACGATGGTGTTATAAGAGAAAATATGGATGAGAATCTCCAGTATCATACTGGAAAAGTGGTTGGAAAGATTTAAACATGTCCATTGACAATGGAATCATAATTCCTTCTGAAAAACAAAAGCTTGACAAGATGCAAATCCTCGTCATATCAGTTCAGAATTCTCAGTTGACCACCGGAAGATGAACCAAGTCCCTCCCTAGGCGCAGGTCTGGGGGTCGAATCCCCCTAACTGCGTTGCTTCCTTCCCTAGAGCATGACTGAAGGTTGTTTAGCTTTCTTCAAACCTCTCAATAGATTAGATAGGACCATTCTCGTCCACTTCCAGTATAGGACTAATTGTAACAATATTGTGCTGAAAAAAATTCAGAATTAGATTGAAATGGTACAATGAGTACAGCTACTGATACAAGCCGGTTTGGCAGTGGGCAATTTTGTTCTAATACAGGCAAGAAGGAGACTTGATGCAACAAATGTCACATTGCTCCCTCCTCTGTAATGCGAAAAGCCTACAAAACTGAGTTACAGGGTTTCCTTAACTGGAAGAGCTTGCTGCAGGAATTTGTCCAAAGGATCAAATCATTCTCTCTCTTCCACAAATTATCGACAGCACAAGCAGATGGCGAACCCCTCATCTTATAGCAGGGAGTCCGGGATGATTTACAAACTCGTCTCTCTTTGGAGTCTCATGTTTCATTACTCATAAGTTATCTTCTATTTCATCCGGTACATGCAATTTTTCAATGGCAGCCTGTTCGAGGAAGGAATGAAGGGTATACTTAAGCAATGATCAAATAAATTGCCCAGCTTAATAAACCACAAGAGGAAGTGCACCATAATCTATAATTGATTATGAAGATGATAAATGACTTCTCTTGATATCTGAGCTATAGAAGTACTATCAAAAGATTGAATCGGTAGGAAATACTTGTACAGATAAAATGTAGGGATGGAGAGGGGTCAAATTTTGTGATTCAACAGAATGCACTAGACCAGTATTAAACATGAGTTGCAATCTCACGGTTCAAGTCAAAGTTGATGGTTTATCCAAAAAATAATACTAACAGTATCTAATTTTAGCAATTTCTCATGCTGAAATAATAAACAAATAATACCAGTGATTCTTGTACCAGTACTTCAGTAGCACCTATTACAGGTAGAAACCATAGATAAGAAGCTATATTGTTACCTTAATGGTAGCAACATCAGTTGCAGATGGTTTCATATCCAAAGCGAGTCCAAAATGTAGCATGGCCTTGTCGTACATATCACGCCTTTTGTAGATCCTACCCATCAGTGCATACACGCTGCTCTCCCGCGGCGCATACTCCTTAAGCTCCTCCAAGACTTCCAAAGCCCCATCGAAATTCTCCACGGTCACAAGAATATTAGCCTTCTGATAAAGTGGGAGAGGATTCTTCTTATCTGCCATAATAGCTTTCTCCATAATCTCCAATGCTTCCTTATTTCTCTGCCAAATTTAGAAGATGCCAATGGTTAAAATTGAACTGTCTTAATAAGGTTCCCAGCTCATAAAATTTGACAAACCTTCAACGCATGTAGAGCTGTCCCAAGATATGACATTATAACAGAAGAACGTGGATTTATTTGAAATGCCATTCGGAAGTGATGCTCTGAAAACTCAAACTTCTCTTGCCGAAGGTAGACCATTCCAAGACCATACCAGGCATTGTAATGTCGGGTGTCAACACGAAGAGCACTCTGATAGCTCTTTATACCATTCTCAAAATCCTCAAGGGCCACATATCTGTGAATATAAAACCTCAAATTAAATAATCTCTAAACTGATACTACGTTTAGGTGAAAAAGAAGAGAGATCCCATCTAACTCCTGGTTTCATTTTTTGCCTAAAAGAGCAGATATATATTCATACTCATGACCACAAAGGGTGTGGGCATATGCAAATCTTGAATCTAGCTGCACTGCACGCTGGAAATTTTTGAGTGCCGTTTCATGGTCTTTCTGCAAGCTATAGCAATTTCCCATAGCACACCTGCCATATCAACATAAAATTTTTTTAAAAGAAAGTGACCAGAAGCAAAAATGTCTGACAGAAGAAAGGTGTTCTATGCTCATCAAAAGACTGCTTATATGACTGCAACTAAAGGATTTATAACCAAAAAGTGTCATCATATTACAGTGACAGCAATAAGCACCAACTTGAAAAAGCAACAGAACAAAAATAGCAGGTAATATTAAAATGGCCAGTTCCAAAATAGGATGGAAAAACGACCATTTTATGATTAAAATACTCAAGACCATCACAAAGCACGTAAAAGTGTTTAATTTCAGATAAATGACAGATTTCATCAACTGGCAGTAAATCAGCTCACTTAAGTCCCAGGCTCAAAAGCTATACTGCACAGATTTTGCATCAGGTCAGAGACCATTCAGCAACCGTTTTTGCACGGATGACAACTTCAGGAAACCAAGGAACCCATCTCTATTTAACATGTGAAAAACCAAGGAACCCATGAAATGTTGCATTTTCCAAAACCAATTGATTCTCTCAAGTGTAAAAGCACAGAAAAAGGGAATGTGTGCTGCACACAATGTTCTATTGAGAAGAGAAGACACCTGGCAGAAACTAATTTTTCAAGATTAATAATTTAGTCAAACAAACACAATCACAAATATAGCATATCTACCATGATTGGGGAGCCAGACGGTCAGTTGATATCAGCTCTTGAGCCAGGTAACTCAACTTCATATCCTCCTTGAGATGCTGATATACACGGTTCACATAAAATTCAGTTAGGTTTTGAGGGGTCCAGGAAAATGCAGTTGGAAATGAAGAAATCAACTTTCATGATAACTAAATAAAAGCAGCATAATCCTTCTTTAGTAATTCTTTTATTTTCTATGTTGATAACCTTGAGTTTTCAGGCTAAATGAATAAAACAACCTCCTGCTCACACTATCTCCACAACTACTTTTTACATTGATTGGAAACTATTAAAAACAGTCAATTACTTTAGCATCTTTAGGAACAAACAGCAGGGAGCTTTTTTGCAATGCACAGCGCCTTTTTGTGCTCATGATTCAAAGAATAAACTTTCCAAGAGTGTTGAAAACTCACATATAATACTGTAGAATAAACATCCATTCCTTCTAAGCTATAGGGGGAGGCAAGACGAGCCAGATTGAAGGCATGATCTGCTTCTACATAATCAACCATTTCAAAGTATGCTTTTCCGACCTGCAACAAATCCGTATACATGAAATAAGTATGTAAGACATGTCACTGATTATACATGGTTAGTAAGGAAGACCTATCACTATGTTCTGCCTAAAACGAACATAAAGATGTAAATTGCAGCTTTGTCCTCTGGAAAAACCCATGATACCATTAAATAGAGTTAATTCACTTTATCCCAAAGTGAAAGTTGCCATTCGACAGGTCTTCCTTTAATGAGAAGTTTGGAATATTCAATAGTCCAAGGAAAAAATAGCAACCAGATGGGGCCCAACACTTAAAGTGCAAATGTACAAAGGAAAAAGCGAAGAAAAAACAGGTCCCTATTTTTTTGGCTGCACCAAGCATGTCAGAGTTCAAGATTTCCAGTTGAGGAAAAGTCTAAATTAGTTTGGGGAAAGGAAAGTAAGACACTCAATTTGGACATATTCAGCTCAACACACCACGTTTGAAGCTATCTTTTCTTTTCCCCTCAAAATCAACCACATCTAAAAGCTTGAGAACAAAGATTCTGACCACTGGTAGTGGCAACCATCTCTCAAGGAAAATTTCTAGATTCAACTCACACTCCCAGTTCATTTATCCCACTAATACACAGAAGAAGCCAGAAGAAAAGCTTTGCAGGTGATGTAGAGAGATGGGATGCCAATGTCTGTGAAGTCAATTGCTTGAATTGGTGCATGCAAATCATAAGATCCACAAGACATAAAGCACGAAATAAAGCTAGCAAAGATACCTGGGATAGTACCCAGCCTGTATTATATTGCTTCTGCGGGAGTTTAACATAGACATCCAATGCATCCTGTCCTAGCAAGAGGATTCATACAACTAAATATAGTTTCAAGAGAGACTGGAGATTTCATTTCTTCAGGATGTCAAATGCATACCTGACATCTATATCCACAAGAGAGTCTATAACCTTCCCCAAGTATTCTCAAGAGCGCCAATAAATCCGAAGCACCAACTGCGACTCTTGAGCCGCTCAGGCAAACCCCAGCTGCAGACGTAGGCCCTTCTTGATCCAGAGATCTAGATTCACTAGACGGGGATGAACAAGTTGTGCTACTATTACGAGAATCATCATAACCATCATGCTTAATCCCTGCAAACGTTAACCACTTCTTTTAGCTACTGGAATACTTCATATATAAGAGGCCTGACACTGGGAGAAATAGTGGAATATCTCTTATTAGTCCTTTACTTGCGACATCAGTTAAATTCCTATTTTGACGTGGTTGTTACTTGACAATTGCTCAAGAAGTTTTTTCAACTAATGTCTGTCTTAAAATCAAGCAGACCAACTTCCCTAATTACCAAGTATCATAAGATCTTTATGCACAATAATTGCTCATACACCCCCAAAAGCAATATGAGAACATAATAATTACCTTCCAAAACAAAGAATACAATGCATATGAACCCGTTCTGACTAGTTAATGGGCTTAAATGGAAATTTCTACTCAAACTCAAAAAAAAAAAATTAAAACAAATAGTGAACAAAACTTTGACCTTGTAGAATTAGGCAAATGCTATTAACTTGTATCTATTGTATGAGAATAATTTCATAAATTTTGTAGACAGTTAAAAAGACAAGAATATTGTAATTTGCGGAATTATCCATACAGATCAGAACTTTTAGTATAACCAGCTAGAGACCTAGTAAAGGAAGAAAAAGCCCTACAGCGAGCTCAACCAGATTATATTCAATAAATTACAAGGGCCAGTATGAAGAAGGGAGTCTCAGCCCTAGAAAGCCACCCAAAATTGGAATTGCAGCTTGGTTTTTTCTGCAATCCTAATCCTTGGAATTGATGCATACTAAATATTTGAACGCGTGCTGATATTTTACATCCAAGCCTACCAATCAACTGATATATGAAAAAGTTAACAAACAAATGAGCAAGATAGATTATCAGGAGCTTTGCCAACAAGATTCATCACCTTCATCAAAATTTTCATTAGACCAAGACTGTCCTTTCCGACCTGTCACTGGACGTACTGATCCAGTTGCAATCTTGGAACCACCAAGGTATTTTGACGAATGATTTGTCCCATTGCCAGACACTGTTGACACATTTGAATTAGTGTTGGCCACAGAATCTCCAGTGGCAAGTCTTATGCTCCGTCGAGGGGCAGAATCAGCAAATAACCTCCCTGATACCTTACCACAATCAGGATGAGTTCAAATCAGTAACACAAGACACTATCAGCCACAAATACAATGTCAGATGAGACTTATATATGCTAAATAGAACTCGATGTGCAATATGCACCTAAAAGGAGAACAAAAGCACAAAAGGATGCAAAGCAGACGTACAACTCTGTGATGCCCAAGAGTATTAGGTTTCAAATGACCTTAACCAATAACAAATCGAAAAGCCAACTTCAGGTTGAATCTTGCCTTCAACATGACTCTGAGCTTTGATGGCCCAGCATAATCAATATCCACCTTACCGTACAAAGACCATCTAAAGATACAGTCCTGAAGTTTCCTTTCTATTTTCCATATCATTTTACTTGTACTTACTACTTGAGAGTTTAGACTAGATGCCCACCCCATCCATTTATTTTAGCCTATGTTCCATCTCAAGGCAGAGCCTCACTTCCCTACCAACATAACCCAGATCTGGATAGTTTTCATACATCTGAAAGGTTCTCAGCTCATTTCCGTAGTCTCTCTCTCTCTCCCCCCCTTCCCCATCCCCCCACATAACTTATCTAATGCTTTTACTATATTTTACTTTTTAGACTAAAAGAAACAAATACAAGAGTATCCAAGTTACTTTGGTCTGAAATAGCAGGGTAGAAAAGTGCAATATATGGTGAAGTGTGCTACCAGAGTACTCATTAGTGTCAAAGCCTAAAACTACCTTAGCAAAATTAAGGACCTTTCTACAGCACACATCTGGGTTTAACAAATGCCATCTACCTTTTAGTTACTACAGTTGATGCAGCTTTACAGAAAGCAGGCACCAATCTCTCCTACAAACATTATTTTGGTTACAATCTAACAATCAGGAGGTGAGACAACAATTTCAAGCTAGAGTTGTATCCTTATCAGCCTTCAGGTGAAAGACACATAGTTCTTATGCATTACTATGATATGCTCCGTCCAAGCATGACATACTTTAAAAACATTGCAGGGGAAGTTTGAATAGGTAACAGAAAAAGATGGTTATCAGAAGGTGCAACAAACCATGGATGGCATGTGGAACCAACACTCCATTTCCCTAGAGATCCTATGAGGTGCTTGAAAGCAGTCAAAAGTAGTTGACTAGGAGCATCACTATTACTGGTTGTCCTTTGAACAGGCACAAAAAGCAACATAACAACTTTCTAACCTTTCTTAGTTTTCCTTCATCAACAAATTTCCTCCGAGGGGCCTGAATCGTTGAGTTCACAGTTGATCGTGGAGAACTATCAGCCCCAGTTGCACAAGAATTTGGGCCATTTATTTGCATATTTCTGCATATAGGAGGTGGAGCTACACCTGACAACTGCAAGATATTAAGAAGCTAAGACGGGCAAGCTATCTGCAAAACTCATAAAGAATATGCAGCTATTGAAGCTTAGAAAAAGAAAAAGCTACTATCTAATTTATGAAATTAAATAAACTTAATTGCAATTATAGAATCTCCAAAAGTAACAATAGAATGATATTATCTGGCCAAGATCACCCAATTGCCCTTCCCTGGCAAGATACTCTTCGTAAGCTATAAGCTGATTGTCATACCTGGGAGGCCGCAGCCATTGGTGAAGGAGTACTGTAGAATGACAAAGTAGTAGGACCACCATTTAAAGGCTGACTACCAGTTCCTCCAGGCTGAGGTGCACTGTGATAGTTCCCAGCAGCATCTCGTTGACTATTGCCATGGATATTTTTCAAATGCCTTGGACTCAAATCTTCTGCACCAACATTCCTGCTAGAGATTAGACCCTGATCTTCAGCAGATGCTTGCATACTTTTGGAACCCAATCCATGAGGCAAATGCTGCTTTTGGATACAAAGAGAAGCAGCATCACCAAAAACTGTAGCAGCCTCTTCAGCAGCACCTGTCTCCAAAGTGTGTTTTTAGCTCAATCTTATAGCCACAATACAAAACAATTCCAAGCAATGTTAGACAAATAAAATAAAGGTAGGTAGTAGCTTAAGAGGAATATGCAACACAAAAAACCGAATTGCTCTACTGGTGAAGACCTTACTTCAGCCAAAACAAATCATACTGTTTCCATAGTAATCCAAAGGACTTTCTTTAATCATAAAACTGGAAATTGGCCAAACAGAATCTACATTAACTGCTGACAATTTGAGCTGTGAAAATCATATTCAGTGGATAAAATGGAATAATACCTCAAACTGGCAAAGAATTTTATTCCTATCTTTGTTCATAGAAATTCTTTTTTCTTTTGATTTCCTTATTGTGCTGATAAAATATAGTTTTAAAACACGATCACAAGCTGTATGACTTCAAATTAAAGGTACTATAATTGAGTTAAATTAAAGGTACTATAATTGAGTTAAATTAAAGGTACTATAATTGAGTTGACCAACATGATGACGGCAGCCATCATTTTCAGGTTAAATGGGTGCAAAATATGGAGAATGATTCAATCTTTCTCGAGGAGATAGAATTCTGCGTCTGCTATCTGGTCACAATTAAATCAAACCAAGCAACTAAAACCACAAATCCTGTGGAAATTCAGGTCAAGATTTTCCCTTTAGTCCATTTCCCCAATACCAATGAGATATAAAAAATGAAAACTATTCATGGTTGCTGGTCCAAAATAAGAAGTAGCCAGCACTATCAACTACTTATCAAATAACTCAACAAGATTAGTGTAATAAATTCTGCCAAAAGAAAAAAGGAAGATTGAATAACGCCAATGTTCATTTACAAACCTAATATGCACAATTCCTCATAAGCAGCCCAGAGCAATGGATCCAAGGACAAAGCTTGATTAAAGTGATAAATGGCACTCTTTCTTCTATCTGTGCATCTGAAATACATGGTGAAAGATCAACAGATCAACAAAAACTTATAGAAGACACTTTTCTTAATAAATACACAATTTTGGAACCCAGTAAAACAGAAGTCAAAAAAAATAAAAATAAAAAACCCAAGAAACGAATGAAAAAACAGTAAGAAGATAGCTGAAAAAGAGGAAAAAACAACAAAGCTGTGCAGACAGGCCATAAACTGTGAAATACCATTCAGAAAATACTACTAGCTAGTAGCAGAAATTAATAAGCAGGTTATAAAAGGAAAGCCAAATCATAGAAGTAAACTGTTGCATTGATAAAAAAGCATCATCCACAATCCAAAATTCCAGTTGCTGTAAAGAAACTTTAAAAATGTTCAGACATAATAGCTCAAAGCACTCGGGAAAAACAAAAGAAACTAACAACCATGATATAAAGTTATAATATGTCCAAAACCAGACACATTAGAAATTGTATTTGTGAAGATACCAAGAAAAGAAATCTGTGCAATAGTATCATTAATAAAAGTTGACAAAATATTTCAAGAACACACCTACACAGCCAGCCCACATTCTCATGTTTCAACACAGGTAAACTTTGAATATGCCATTGTTCTGAGGTTGGGATATTAAATGGTGACAATATGGACAAAACTTTTAACAGAAAAAAGAAAAGAAAATTTCTGAAATGTTCATCTCTAGTCAAGAAAGAACTTTCGGGAAGTGATGTTACAAAGCCACACTTTGGATGTATCTAATTACATCAAGTTTTAGCAAATTAAGTACTAAGGTAGCAGACTCCATTATCCATCCAGAGGAAGCTTCTCCAAAACTTGCAGACATAATGGAAAACGAATGATCAATTCATAGCAAAACTCACATAAATATAATGACTAAAAAATGATAAATAACTAATGAGAACCTGTAAATAAGCCCAAGAAGGTAATGCCCAGCTGCACCATTTGGAATCTGCCAAAAAGACATACTTCAAGTAAAATCACCTGAATATAAGGTTGATAACTACAAAAGAAGGCGGCACTTGTATTTGTCTAGATTCTAAGAAAGCATTGTAGAAAGGTTTTCTATTTCTGTCATAATACAGTGCCTACTTTCTACTAACTTTTTCCCCCTCTTGATATCATCATTATTTCTCCATGTATATTACTGCACCTTGGGTTATACTTCCAACAATTTAAAATCAGAATGAAGTTTATCTATCGATATTTAGTTTAATCCTGCCACCAAAAACATTTAACCATGACCAATATACTGAGTCAAGCAACTTAAATTTCACAACTCTAACATAAAGCAATTGAAGTGTATTTTTCACTCAGGAAATATAGTGCCCAAGCTACTGAAAGCAAGGAAAACAATATAAAGCAAAGTGGTCAGATATAATTTCAAAGTCAAAACAAAATCCTTAGACACTGCCATATATGAGTCTGTGCCATTGCCTCCCATCCAAAACATTATGCTCTTTCCAACTCTCTAGTCAGAAGTATTAATCAACTCATAGCTACATGCTTTAGCATCAAGCAAAATATGTAAACTTTTATTCAAAATATTTACTTCTTTGTTCCAGCACTTAACTGGAATAAAGTTTGCACTTTCCATAACACTAACCAGCATTTTGAAGCTCATATTGGACTCATCATGCATTATCATTGTCCAGTAAAGACCTGTTATACATCTAGGGTGAAATTTAAAACATAATACGCAGACAACATCCTGAAGAAAGAAACAGTTATTGTTTACTTCCATAAATAAGGTCATAGGTAATTATTCTGGAGGAAAAGGATCCTTTACTTAATAGACCCTTTTTTTTCCACCAGAATTGTAATCCCAGAGTGTTCCTTTATCCATTTTTCACTGGCTGTTAGCTTCTCCAGCTGAATACACTACGTCACATCTTTAAACAAACAAATATATCCAAACTAATCTACATGTAACACAAATTTATATAGCAATACAAGCATACAAATGCACAAGACAGTTCCAGAAGCTGACTTCCATATTTGTACCTCTGCAGATGATTCATTAGGTGGGCACAATGCCGCTTCCGCTTCATTTAAAAGGTCCATCTTAAAGCATGATTGTGCAAACAAGTACCGGGAATGAGCCATATGGTTTCCTTCAGAAGATATTTGAAAAGAAAAGTAAGAAGACCAGAATAAGAACTACTGTGCCAAACAAAAAAGAAAAGCAAAAAGTAAAGAACCAAGGTGCATGAGAGAGTAAAACCACTAGCATAACCAGTAAAACATACCTTTTAAGATGTGGTATGCAGAGTAAGCCTGATTGTTCTGCAAGTAACAGACAGCTAAGAGCTGCGAATTTGTCTGAAATACATGAAGAAGACATTGAAAAGTAAGAAAAAAGTTATCAAAGAACCAAAAGGCTTGCTGAAACCTACTTAATGAAAATGCATGGCAGCAATCACTAAACATATAAAAACGTGGACCGTATGCTTCAAACTCAAAATAAATTTGGAATTATATAAAGGATACTGGGGCTTCTTCAGAACTTCAAAAGGCACAGTACAACTAACCCTCAGCATCGAAATGTACTTGAATAAATTTCAATTCCTAATTGTCCAAACTTTCAAAGCAGCTAGCCCTATTTTGCCTCGTAAAAATTGCCAATGCACAAATATTCAGATTTTCCATAAAACTACATCTCCATTTTGTCCAAAACATCTCTATTCATCTATAGATACCTAAACTTCAATTTTCCCCTTTCCATAAAACTCATCACCGAAACCCCAAAAACATATACCCAAAATTTTCAAACGTATCCACTAATTTTCCAAAAAAGGATTCTACTTTGCCTACACTTAAGAATACTAATAACAACAACACTAAATTGTACCTAAAAAATTAATTACTAAGCAACTCTAGGGTTCAAAATAAGTAAATTCGTTTAACTTTTACTCAAAGAATTAAAAAAAAACAGAGGAAAAAAAGTGAATTATAAGCTACCTCAGAGGGAAACTCAGCGCAAAGGCGTTCGCACATGAAAATGGCGTTGCGGTACATGAAATGCCGTAAGCTGTTCTGCGCACACTCCGTCAGTATTGCCTCCATGGATTCCGATTTTTAGACGCAGAACACACAGTAATAAAGAGAGGGGTTTTGATTTGAGGGGAGAGGGAGAAAAAGGGTTTTAATTTTGGGATTTGGAGGATTCTTGTAATTTTATATCCAGATTTAATTGGAGTAGTCGGAGGAGGAAGACGAGGCACGTGACATTCGAACTCTAATTCAAAATGTGTCACGTGATGAGGGGGGACTGTGGCCGTTGGGGCGGAGCTGGTAAGGAGTTTCCATTTTCCGCGAACGCCATTATATGAGAAAGAAAGAGGGGAGACACTTTTGAAAAGATTAATTTTGGGAAAATTGCTAATAATGTCCCTCAATTTCTCAAGTGTATCTTTTGGTCATATACATTTTACATAAAATGCAATTTTTTGGCATAAAAATGCAATTTGTTTACTCACATTAGTCACATTTTTTAAATTTTTTCTCAAGAATTCTAAATTCGGTGCTCAAGCCACTAGATTAAGGCATCCTTGGTTATGGTAATCCATATCAGTTACATGTATGCTATACGCGTAATTTAAGGGCGTGCTTGGCATCTCAATTCTTTCCTTGTTTTTATTAGATAAGTTTTTTGGTTTATAAGAATCCTTAAAATACATACAAAAAATGTGTTTGGATTGAAATGTTTTAAAATAAAATAATTTGTTTTACAAATTTCAATTACCTTTTTATCTTTCCAATCATCTTTTTACCTCACATACATCACATCACAAAAAGTGCTACAATAATTATTTCAAATAAATTATCCAAATAAACTCCTATCCAAACAAACCTTTAGTTTTTTAAATATACATTTCAAAATATCAAACACACACCCAATCCTTCTTTTACCACCACTATTCCTAACCCTTTGTACCTCTACCACTACTGCCCCTACCTCATCCCACAAACCACCACTTGTAGTCACCTCATTAGCATAGGTCACCCTTCTTCTTTTTTTCCCCTTCTCCCTTTCTCTCTATTTCTCTCCCTATGCTACTCCCTCTTTCCCTTTTCTTCCCTTAATTGTCTTCTCCTCTCCCCTTTTCCTTCTTCCCTCTTTTCCTGACACTCTTTCTTCTCCTCTCTCCATCCCCCGCTGTACGCAATAAAATTTCAAGTCTACAAAATGACAAGTAAAAATACACCGATAAATATGTAATATATAAATTTAAGAAAATATGTGAGTACATTCTCCGGGATTTTCTCAAGCTTATAGAGAGTTTCCTTCGATTCTTCTCCTCAAACGCCAGTCCAAGGGTTTCGCAGTTTATTCTTGGATCAACCACTGATGCCTTCAAATCTTGATATGGAATATTTGAAAAACTTGAAAGATATTTGAAGATTCAAGACTTGATATATGAAAGACTTGAAGGGCTTAAAGATCCAGATCTTTGTAACTTGGAACTTCAATACTTGAGCGTATGAGATGCCTCTTGTTTTTTGTCCCTTGATTTAGTAGAGAGACCCCTATTTATAACTGTAATATGAGATAGAAATTGAAGACATTGTTGTATTAGGACTGTTCCAGTTTAAATATTATCTATTCTTTTTGTATTTATTAATAAAGAGATAATATCAATGAGTGGTTCCTTGATTGGCCAAACTTGCAGGGACATATGACGTTGTGCCATTTGGTTGGACAAGCTATTGCAGTATATAAGACATCTACATATATTAAATAACCCTAAATATTATTTCTTTAATAAAGAAATAATTATTTAGATATTTATCCATAATTTTGCTAAGTCATATAGACATGTGACATGGTATAATTTGATTGGCAGAGATATTCTGATAATTTTAATTGGCCGCAACACCTCATTTCGACATGTGAAGAGACATGAATAGCTGTCGAATAGCACAACTTCCAAGTGTGCATGATATATGGCAATATTCGATTGGCTAAGTATAAGCCATAGAAATCATTTATAGACTAATGGTAATTTTAGAATTTAATTAAAATTCCATTATCTATAAATGTCCCCTCGAAACTTGTTCGTGATTGCTAGAGACTTGAAGCAAGATTTGAACGGACAATCTTCGCATTTTTTTTTCAATTTGACTTGAATGCCATTGGAATATTTATTCTAAAAAAAATGGACTAGAACTTGAAGCTTTACAAATCACATGGCCGTGGCTTTCGAATGGACATAGGATGGCCATGTAAAATATTTCCCAAGTCATCACTACTAAATATCAAATGCATGCATAACTTGGTGAAGTCAATGGTTTCAATTTCTAAGACTAAATCCTTCCATGCAATAGTTACACCATGGCCCTAGCTTTTCCGTTGCTTTCGGGAATTCAAATATTATATACACACGAGCTCTTTTCCTTTTAAGACTCGAACAACCTCTTTGAGCTAGACTTTGCAATATTGGTAATTTGTGCAACTTTGTTGTCGAATTGAATAAAAAATCCAATGCGGATTCCAATATGATTCTAGTTGTCACGATCATGGCCCATGAATTACAAGTCTTTTCCTATTTCAGCTATGCTTGCTCAATTCCAAGTCAAATTGGAATTCTTTGTCATTGCAAATTAGTTAGTCGAGTATTACTAATGCAGTCCATAAGATCTTGACAAACCGGTTTTGGATCAATAAATCTATTCCAAAAAGGAATAGACTTTTTTCCAAATTTGTATGGAAGAAGACTTTCTTTCAATAAGAGCAATCCTTCCACTATATATAGTCAAGTCAAGGCCACAATTTCTTGGACATGTTTTATTCCTCTCCTTTAGCTGCATCGTTGAGTCGTCATTGTTGCTAATATCTGTCATTGCTGCCGCTATTAAATTGGTGTCGCTTGCTAGTGCTCTTCAACAATATTGCCTTTTTTCTCTGTCTTGCCCACCAGGTACTTGAAGCTTTCCCTTTACTCACAATATTTAATTGTTACAAGAGACTTCGGACAAAACGGTTCCTTGAGTGCCATGAATCTGATTAGTACTTGAAATTTGCATGTCTATTGGGCACGTGTTTTTAGACTTATAGAATTGCATCGCCATATATTATAAAATAGCCTGACCGTTTGATTCATCTATTAGAATAATACCAAACATGACATCTGAGCAATATCTTGTGGCTAAAACTCTGGTCTTAATTTTCACACCAGTCCATATCAATGTTTCAACTTTGTTAATTTACTCCCTTGTAGAGAACCAAAATCGCGCTTGAAGTGGAGTTTGAAGCAATTTCGGGGACTCGAGAAAAGGACAACCAATTAAGTAATTTAATTACCAAAATTTTGTAAGAATTTCCTTTCATCATCTAATATTTCTTTTACAAAATTTCAGCAACTATGCAAATTAAAGATTACGCCACACTATTACCACATATTTCATTGACGGACAAATGAGAAGGATCTGAATCGAAAAGTCTATCATTATATGTCAATAAGCAAGCAATCGGCGCCTTTGCTGAGTCTTTTATACTCCTTGAAGGATGCTTTTATCTTGAAAATTGGACTAGCAAGTGGACTAAGGAAGTTGTAGCACCATCGACTTTTTCGACTATGTCGAGGATAGAAAAAGTGGTCATATTAAACTCGTCACTTCATAATAGAGATCCAAAAATGGTCAAATTTACGCTTTCATTTGTGGGATTCAATAATGACAAAATTACATGGAAGATTCATTCTTTCTTCTTTGGCGAGGCGTGCTTCACTTCCTACTATTGGGATTGGGTCGTGGACATCATTGGAAGGCATAAAGAGGTACTCACACGTGCCGACGTATTTGAAACCGTCTACTCGTCGAGATTTTTCGACAACCGTTGTGAAAATATCTCGCGAGGTTTCTTTAAATATTGGTGTCTCTCAACAAATACACTCCATACGCCTGTTGGGGAGTTATTTATTATGCTTTGGGACCTTTATCGATTTGGTGATCTTTCAATTGATGGCTTATTCTTTGATGAAGTTGATCTTTCGGCGCAGGAACTTCTCACTTGTAACAAAGAAGTGAAGCCACTTCTTCCTGAGAGTTGTAGGCATCTCTTTTTCGCTTACTACCACCTTTGGACGAATGACCAAGGAGTGTGGATGAAAGACTGGATCCATTTCTGGTTCAAAGGAGAGATTAGATATAAGACTCCTCTGAAGAGGGCGAATAGAAGAAAGACCACATCTAAATAAAAAATGACCTATAACCCTTCTGGAAGCATAGAATCTCATGACCTTGCTGATACAAAGGACTTCAACATTCCTTTTGACACATTGGATATCCCAGGATCCTTGAGAAAGGAAACCTATATTGCGGCATTCATAGCGTGTTGGATTTGCAAGTTTCTTTTGCTAAGCAAAAAGATTGATCACATTCGTCCAAATGTCTTCAAGGTTGCATACTTAATGTGTGACGCCCCCACTTCTCCCTAAGGCGAACTAAAGGGTATCTGCGGGACGCCTGCCTAACTCTCGCCAGGACTCAAGTAATTTCCGTTTGAGCTTAAAGTAATACTATGCATCACAATCAGATAAAATAACGTCAAAAGTACGGAAGCTTTCAAACTTAACGATGTTCAACAATTATCCAATCCTTATCTCGGATTTCCAGATTACATCTCCAAACCCAAAATAAACAACAACCAAGATGTCTAACCCAATACATTGGAAATCCTATTACAAAAGTATATCAAAAGGGAGTCCCTTCGAGTCTCATCCCAAACCCATTCCTGTTAAGGAAAACAAATCTACAGGGTGAGCAAAAAAGCTCGTGAGACCAAGAACACACATGCAAGCATATTGTTCAGATAACAATTCCAATTTAACAAGTCAGGCAATAATATTCCAATAAATGACAATTCATGCTAGAAAGTAAACAGAAATAATTCAAGGATATAGGAGCTCTCAGGAGCTATTTTCCACTTGCACGATCACGAACCTTTACAAGTTGACACTCCGTCAATCGGGTAAGTTTAGTCCGTAAAAATTTCACTTACGCTTCCCCTTTCACCTTGCATACCATACCGGGCCCGCAATACATTTATGAGGCGATACTCTGCGAGTATGTCAAGTAAGACCTCTCAATAGGTCAAGTTTATATGATCTCATGGTTCACCATGGAGCCCGACCAAACCCATTCCGGCTCGAATCCAAGGTTAGCCAGTAAGATTTGGGCGTCCCCCACTTACCACTTGAGTCGAGGAGATTCACTCCAATCGACTTATGCAGCCATAGCATAAATAATCACTTAAATATTTCACTTAAATTCACTTAACAAGTCATTTCAAATATTTCATA